TTGAGACCGTCGCGTTGGATCGATTGGATCAGCTTGACCAAATTGAGCGTCGTCGTGACGTCCTTGCTGCCATTTTGAATGACTTTTTGTAGGTCGCTGATGAGATCAGCGGCCGTCGCAGGCTTCATTCCGCCTTCGAGGGCCTTCTTGATGTCGGCGACCGCTTGGGGACCGGCGACTTTTCCATGGGCGACGATGTCCTTGATATCTTTCAACAGGTCCTTGCCGTCCTTTACGCGGAGAACGCCAGTCTGGATGGCGTTTTGGATGGCTGTGACGAATTGCAGGCCGTTGTCGACGTTGAGCCCCGTCGTGGCGATGGTTCGAATCAACTGGACCAAGCTCGTGATGGTCTTGAAGTCTTGCATTCCGTTGCGCACAAGCTTCTCAAAGTCTTGGACAATGCCGACGAGGCTCGTGGATTCGGCAGATTCGACGGCGGCCGACTCAACAGGGGTCGACACAGCGAGGCCATGGTCGAACACGACAAACCCGGTAGGGACGGGCTCGTTTTGGGCGGCGACGTTGGCAACGGCGGCAAGGAGGAGTGTGCAGACCAAAGCACACTTCATGGCGAGAAGAGTGATGTAAGGATGGCAAATTCCAAAGTGAGCAACCGATAGACGAGCTGTGGTTGCGCCTCTCTCTTTCGTGGCACCCGTTCATCCTTTCGGCTGGGTAATCTTGCCTACAGGCGGAAAATATACCGTGCCAACTGGTAGCAGTGCGACTAGTAGAGCATCCACACAATGTGTGGACCCACCATGCAAAGCAACGACGCAGCCGAAGTAACGGGTGGACGCTCTTACCGCAGGTTGACAAGACATCGCACACATCTGTTCCCGGGGTATGCGCCGCACACGCGGTCACCGGGATTGAACACGACGATTGTCATGCATGAATGCTCCAAGGCCTGACGCCGCACTCCTCTCCACCAGGGGCCACCGTATCCAATCCACATTGTGGAGCGTGACCAGCGTACGATAGAAGGTTATACCTCAGCCAAAGCACAATCAATATCTCGCTCACTGGTCATGGGACCTCGACAAAGCATCAACAGCTGCCATCCGATGCATCCATTTTTGTCTTCTCCCAAAAATTCGTTGTCGTACGATCTGCGGCCATTACCTAAATGGAGTACAATACAAAGATCCGCGGCGAACATTTCTGCCTCATATCTCTCGTATGCGGCGCAGAATCCAAGTCGACACCAGGTACATGCCAGATAACCCAAGCGCCCCATTTACTGGCGTCGACTTGGATTCTGCGCCGCATACGAGAGACATTTCGCTCGGCCTGAGTTTCGCTGGGTGAAGACAAAAATGGATGCATCGGATAGCAGCTGTTGATGCTTTGTCGAGGTCCCGTGACCAGTGAGTGAGATATTGATTGTGCTTTGGCTGAGGTATAACCTTCTATCGTACGCTGGTCACGCTCCACAATGTGGATTGGATACGGTGGCCCCTGGTGGAGAGGAGTGCGGCGTCAGGCCTTGGAGCATTCATGCATGACAATCGTCGTGTTCAATCCCGGTGGCCGCGTGTGCGGCGCATACCCCGGGAACAGATGTGTGCGATGTCTTGTCAACCTGCGGTAAGAGCGTCCACCCGTTACTTCGGCTGCGTCGTTGCTTTGCATGGTGGGTCCACACATTGTGTGGATGCTCTACTAGTCGCACTGCTACCAGTTGGCACGGTATATTTTCCGCCTGTAGGCAAGATTACCCAGCCGAAAGGATGAACGGGTGCCACGAAAGAGAGAGGCGCAACCACAGCTCGTCCATCGGTTGCTCACTTTGGAATTTGCCATCCTTACATCACTATTCTCGCCATGAAGTGTGCTTTGGTCTGCACACTCCTCCTTGCCGCCGTTGCCAACGTCGCCGCCCAAAACGAGCCCGTCCCTACCGGGTTTGTCGTGTTCGACCATGGCCTCGCTGTGTCGACCCCTGTTGAGTCGGCCGCCGTCGAATCTGCCGAATCCACGAGCCTCGTCGGCATTGTCCAAGACTTTGAGAAGCTTGTGCGCAACGGAATGCAAGACTTCAAGACCATCACGAGCTTGGTCCAGTTGATTCGAACCATCGCCACGACGGGGCTCAACGTCGACAACGGCCTGCAATTCGTCACGGCCATCCAAAACGCCATCCAGACTGGCGTTCTCCGCGTAAAGGACGGCAAGGACCTGTTGAAAGATATCAAGGACATCGTCGCCCATGGAAAAGTCGCCGGTCCCCAAGCGGTCGCCGACATCAAGAAGGCCCTCGAAGGCGGAATGAAGCCTGCGACGGC